ATGTAATCCATATCGAAGGCTGTGCTCTTTAATCTTCATCAGTAAATGTTTTAAGTCCTCTTCGCTTTCAGCAAACAAGGTTATGTCATCGGCATATAGCAGGTTGTTAATGAGTCTTCCTCCAATCCTGATGCCATGTTTTTCTTCATAGAACCCAGCTTCTCGGATTATTAGCTCAGCCCCAATATTGTAGAAAGAAGCTTAGAAACTCTAACTTTCAGCTGGTTGTGAGAAATTCAATTTGATCAAAGTAAATGAACTCATAACATGAAAACCCATATACTGATATTTGGGCAACATTCTTATACATTCCTAATTTCTTTTCTTTGGACATTTTTTATGGAAGTATTCTGAAAACAGGTTTTTCTCGTTTGCTGTCTAGTTCTGGGGCTCTTTGTCTCTACAATTTCAGCTTGTAGGTGGTCTTGACTGACAAGGTAGGAGTGAAGGGTTCCTACCCAAAGGCCTCAGGGAGGCTGCCCATCCTCATGCAAGCTTAAACACACTCTCCTACTCCTGAATGTACTGGGTGGTGAGTGAAGTTGGGCAGTACAAGGGAACTGAGGCCTGGGTCACTGAAATGCCAGCCTCTTCATATAAGCCCCACCACACACTGTGCAGAATCTCGTCACCTTTGGACCACATCAGAGAAGCAAGACATACCAGAGAGAAATAGGAAACTCAGTGTTCCTTTGTGCCTCCTGGCAAACAGATTTGAAATCCATCAAGATTTTTGGAACTGGGGATTCTTTTCCTTTTTAAAATCTATAATCCCATAAAATGCCTGCCCACTTTACTCTTATTATCAGGATCTGTAGATTACCCTGTTTGTAGGATTAGAATTTTAACAAATGTTTCTTTATTATTGTTTGGCAGCTCTAAGTAAAAGTCCGGGCAGGACTTAGAAGCTGGGTGCAACGACGAATGGTTAGGTGTTCCCCCGCTACTAGCTGACAGATTGGTGGCTCAAACCCACAGTGAGGTGCCAGAGAAGACAGGCCTGGCGATCTGGTTCACATACTTGAAAACCCTATGGAGCAGTTCAACTCCTACATGGATGGGGTGGCCATGAACGGGATGAGATTTCACAGCAACTAACAAAAACAAGTTGTACACAGTGTATATTCTGAAATCGAAAGGACCCAGAGGATGAAGCTTTATTCATAATTTTACATTACATTTACTGCCAGAAAGAGATACAAGAGAGTGCTGATGTTAGAAGCTGCGGTATTTCCAGAACCCCAATGTGCTTTCTCACCCTCACAAATGAGAGCGAAAGCTCTTCAGGGCCTGGGTATTCAAAAACGCAGCGCCTGGGAGCCGCGGCTTCGGCTTAAGAGTAGCATTCGCGTTTCTGCCGGAAGAGGGCGTTGGTCTAAGACTATTAGAAATCCGTGCACACTGAAACCCAGTTAAATGAAAGAATATTTTAAAACATTTTCAATTTATTTTAGCTTGTGGGATTTTAGTGTCTGGATTCGTCCGTCCAATGTAACACGTTCACACTGCATATAACCTCAGTGTGTCACCACGTTCAGAGGCTCAAGTTCCATTGGGATCTGCCCTGCCGCGCCGTGGATTCCAGAGAGGCTCCTCTGGCCACAGGCTTTTCCGCGACCGTTTTCCTCCCAGTGGTAGGACTGGGTCTCTGAGGCAGGACCTTTCCTGGCGTCGTAGAGCCCTGAGGACAGTGTCTCGCGAGTCCCAGAGGAATGAGAAGCGATTGGATATCCGACCTTGTGAGTTGGAGTGGAGCTGTGCCCGCACCCACACCCACATTCAACTCTCCGAAGAACGTTTTAGGGAAGATGGTATCTTTATTTTGTTACCTGGTTTAGCAACCCAAATCGCGAGTATACCTTGGGGATGCCTTTCAAGCACTTCCAGGAGCCGAACAGCTCGCTCGCGGCCACGCCTTTGGGAACAAGTTTCGCTTTTCTGCACGCACTGCCTCAGCGGAGAGCCAGTGTGCTGGGACCCCGGGACCCCGGGACCCCGGGACCCCGGCCCCCTGTCACTCCAACGCTAAATCGCGCAAACGAAGTGAGGGGGCAGGCGCTGGTGTGCTTTTGTTTCGGGAGAGATGCGGAGTCTGTCCCTGCCAGCTGGGCGCCCGCGGCGGCCCAGGTTGGCGATCTAGTCGTCTGCACTGGACCTTTGGACTCTGCTTCCTGACCTTGGCGCCAGGAGACTGGGATGATCCGGCGTGTCTGGAGCAAACGTGGGCAGAGCGAGAAAGAGTCGGAGTGTCTGGAGCGAACATGGGCAGAGCGAGAAAGAGGTGAGAGCGAGCGGAATCTAAATCACCAATATCTAGAATCACTTCATCCCCAATTCTGTGAGTTTTTTTGCACGGTTGTGTATATGTGTGTGTATGGTAAGAGCAGTTCTTTACTTCCAAGTACGTTTTCTTTAGTAAGACCGAAAGCTGGAGAGTGGACTGCAGCGTGAGAGGCGATGGAGAGGTGGAGGATCACCAAAGTACGCGGTGTAGGGGGCTCCCATGGGTTCAGACGTGGGAGTCTGTGGCTTTAAGGAAAAGGCCAGAGCAGCCTGGGAGCGGGGCGTAAGAACGCGGGTGGGGTGAGGAGGGTAGGGGTGCGGGGAGGAGCAGTGATGTAAGAATGTTAATGAGAGGCTCCCCCAGCCCAGCCCCCACCCCTCCCCACCCCCAACACCCCACCCGTTGGAAATACAAGCCCGGCCTCGGCGCGCCATGTGTGGCAACACGCTCCGCAGCTGCCACGCTATTTAAACGCAGGTTATGGATCCAGGAACCGGCGCGAATCAATGAGATCAAACGCGAAGGAGATGCACCGTCAATTACAAGCACTTGGACAAGTCTAACTTTTTTTTTCTTTTACAAATACGCTTTCAAAAGCAATCTCAGGAACGCCCAAATAAGAAGCCACCTTTAAGCAAAATAGTATATATACAGGGAGGGAGAATATATATATATATTTACAATAAGTATATATTTAAAGATAGCAAAGGAGCACAGGTTTACACCCAGTGAAGTTTTTCTTCTTCTTCGTTTTTTCCCCTTCTTTTTCTTTTTTCAAACTACTGAGAGAAGGACGCTTCCTCTCTATCTTTTGGCAAGTTAGTGAGGGGGGAGTTTTGTTTTCTTAGAGCGCCCAAGGGGGCTCAGGGACACCGGAGAAGATTGGGGAGGTGTGCGGTAGGGTGGGTGAGGGGCAGAGGGTGAATCGGCTGCTGGGGCTGGCGCTTGCTGGCGGCACGATGCCGTCTCTGCTGGTGCTCACTTTCTCCGCGTGCGTCCTGCTCAGCTGGGCGGTGCTGGCCGGCAGTACGAGCGGCGGTGACGGCGGGGGCGCGGGCCCTGGCGCCGGGCGCCGGGAGGCTGAGGCGCTGTCGCCGCAGAAGATCGAGGTACTGGTGCTACTGCCCCTGGACGACACGTACCTGTTCTCCTTGGCCCGGGTGCGGCCCGCCATCGAGTACGCGCTGCGCAGCGTGGAAGGCAACGGGACCGGGCGGAGGTTGCTGCCGCCTGGCACCCGCTTCCAGGTAGCCTACGAGGACTCGGACTGTGGCAATCGTGCGCTCTTCAGCCTGGTAGACAGAGTGGCAGCGGCGCGGGGGTCCAAGCCGGACCTTATTTTGGGTCCCGTGTGCGAGTATGCGGCGGCGCCCGTGGCCCGGCTGGCGTCGCACTGGAACCTCCCCATGCTGTCGGCCGGGGCACTGGCCGCCGGCTTCCAGCAGAAGGACACGGAGTACTCGCACCTCACGCGCGTGGCGCCCGCCTATGCCAAGATGGGTGAGATGATGCTCGCCCTGTTCCGACACCACCAGTGGAGCCGCGCCGCGCTGGTCTACAGCGACGACAAGCTGGAGCGGAACTGCTACTTCACCCTCGAGGGGGTCCACGAGGTTTTTCATGAAGAGGGTTTGCACACGTCCGCCTACAATTTCGACGAGACCAAAGACTTGGACCTGGACGACATCGTGCGCTACATCCAGTCCAGCGAGCGAGGTGAGCAACAGTGCTCCCCAGACCCCGGCCCTAAGCCCTGGGCTTCTGGCGGATCTCCCCACACACCCGCGCTTCTTCGGCGGGCCTGCAGCCCTGCGCAGCGCGAACATCACAGGAGCGCGTGAGAGGGGGCGAGTCCTGGTTGCACGCTCTCTGGTTGGGACACCCTTTGTCTTCTCCCGTGGAAGTCCAGGAGAGCACATTTGAGGGTCCCTGGAGGTGTCGGAGGCTGGGGGTGGGGCGTCGGAGCTGCGTGTTCTCATGCGACAGGTGCTGTTAATACGTTTCCCCTTCAAGAGCATGGAACTGGCGGTTAGAGGCACACTCACAGCGCTGTGCTCAGTTTTAACCAGGGCTTGAAAACGTGCGGAGGCCAGTAGAACTTGCTACCAAGTTCCTGGCTTGAGGACGTCCCTTTTAGTGCTGTAGCGTCGGAGGACGAGTCTAGGGACACTTCATTAGCTGGTGTCCCCCTATTTCTCTGGCTGCTCTTTCCACAGATCCCTGGTTTCTTTTCAAGTCTCATTATATCGCCTGTCTCATTCCTCCCCATGGTCCCCACAGCCCCTCATAAATGAACTTCTGTGATTTCCACCGCAATTGCCTTGCTGAATTTGGAACTCGGAGGCACTGCGCGCTCTGCACTGCCGGCTCTAAAACGCTCCGAGCGCAGCTTTTATAGAACACGCGCTGCAGAAGCGGGGCGCCAAACCTCCTTTCTACGTGCCCCGCAAGCTGTTTCCTTGGGTATATGGGGGCCTGGAATAATTCTCAAGGTTGACCAAGAGCTCAAGACTAAAGTTGTTTTCTATGACTACGTGGAGCTGGAGAAGGGGTTGTCGTGGCCGTATAACCGCAAATCCCCAGTGTCACCGGTTTGCCTGTAGAGTAGATTGCGGGTGGATATTCCCAGCTCATGTAGTAACGTGGTTATTGGAGTGCGTAGGGGTTGGTGAGCACAAAGCTCCGGGAATCCCACCTCTGCTCCCCCTTGGCGCTAGCTCCCGTCTTGAATGCCAGTAGTGCAATGCTTGCTAGGCTCCTGCGTCCTGGGTCCCTCACGGGTAATGTCGCCGGGCTCGTCCCGTAGGGTGGCCGGCCACTCACCTTGGGGGACAGCATAACCGGAGGCCAGGGACCTCAGAGTGGGCAGAGGCGCCAGTAGGGGTGATACTGAGGCCACCCCTCCCCAATTTGACCACTTCGAAGGAACTCTGAGTGAACGCACTCCTTAGAGACGCGGAAGGCGTTAACTCTTGGGATGCTCAGCCAATTTTTGAGCGCTTCAATTCCAGGCTGTCTGCGCCCAAGCTTGCCAGCTAGGCAGGTGGGGCTCCAGCTTTACTGATTATGAAAAAGGGCATTTGTGTCCAGTGCCTGTGGACTCGCCATGCCCGGGCTAGGAGGCAAGGATTCCACATTTACTTCTGTCCTCACACCCGTTCCCAGGACACTGCAGCGCCTGAAAACTTGGGCTGTAGGGTCCTGGGAACCGGCTTCTTCTGCTCTTGGCTCTCAGGTAGGGAGTTGAAGATTCCCAAGGGCTGGCTGGGGGGCTAGGGATGTATCAGTCCTAAGCCCCCTATAGGCGAGATTAGCGGTTTGTTCACCCGTCTCTGCTGTAACAGCCCTGACGTATCCCTGACGTGGCCTAGGATTGGAGGTTGAAGACCATTGAACTCAGATAGCTACAGATCTTGGTCACTGAGTCCTTCAGTGGTGGCTGAGGTCAGAACCAGCGAGGGTGGCAGAGCCGTGGGGACCTTTGGGCTTTACAGAGCTTGGCTGCCTGGTGCTGCGGCTGCTGATTTAAAAAAAAAAAAAAAAAAAAAAATCAAGTCTGCTTGTTGTTAAGTGCCCTGTAGTCGGTTCAGGCTGGTGGGTTTGAACCACCGACCTTGTGACTAGCAGTCCATACTTATCCTAAAGCACCACACCAGGACTCCCACAAGTGTGGTAGATATTTTCAAGACTTTTTGCTTTCCAGCCCCCGCCACCACCACCTCAAGTTTGGATTTGGTGGTGATGGTTTCTCAGCTGACCTGTGTATTTGACAAGGTACAGTGCTTACTCTAAAATATATTTCCAATAGTAACTTGGTGGAAGTTCAGAAATATGAAACAAAATCGTTTTTCCCCTAAGCAGCTGTGTTCTTTTTTCTTTTTTCCTTAACCACTGAAATGCCTTACTTTTAGGGTAGAAGGTGGTTTGATAATTACACTCTCAAGGGCTCTTTTACAAATGTATGGAGTCACCCATAGCTCCTCATAAGCAGTTTCTGTGTTAAAGAAAACCCAGTGGAGTGCTGCAAATAGAGTGCTTGGCCTGGCTAGGTTCAGCAACTTTGTAGACTGCTACTAAACTTCTTAAGTCCAGGCTCCTCCCATTAACTGGGGATGGTAGAACCCCCACATCTTTGGAATGCTGGGAGGATTAAATGAGCTAACACAAGGAATGTACTGAAACCATGACAGATGCATACTGTGCTATCTGTGTCAATGAGTCAATTCTAACTCATATAGTCACTTCATGTGACAAAGAACTGCCTCAAGGATTTCCTAGGCTGTAATCCTGGTGTGGGTTAATGCACCAGACTGCTAAATCTTTTGAACTGCAAGGTTGGCGGTTCAAGCTCACTAGCTGCTTCTTGGAAACCCTATATAGGGTCGCTATGGGTCGGAATTGACCCGACGGCACTTAACAACAACAATCTTTTATAGGCGTCTTGGTGTGGTGCTGTGAGTTAATGCACTGGACTGCAGAGTCGGTTTGAATCACAAGGTCGGTGGTTCAAACTCACCAGCTGCTCCTTGGAAACCCTATACAAGGTCGCTATGGGTTGGAACCAACTGACAGCACTTCACAATAATCCTTTATAGGAGCAGATCTCCAGGTCTTTCTCCTGCAGATCAGCTGGATGGGACTGAACTTCCAAACTCTCAGCAGTGGAGAATGTTTAACAACCAAGGCTTCTTACATGTATAACATCATCTTTGCCCAGACGGTGATGCCACACCGTAGAGGAAGAACTGTGGACTGAGAGACAGATAGATATGTCTGGGTATGGTATCTCCACACAGCTGTGTGATTGTGAATACCACGCAACTTCTCTGAGGCTGAGTTTCTTCCTTTGAGGTCTTTCCAGAGGCAGACTGCTGTGGAATGATGGTTGATGGATTTGAACTTCTGACTTTTTGGTTAACAGTGGAGCTCTCAGGGCTGGTTCTCATGTCTTAAAAACTCACTGCTCTCAAGTCAATTCTGACTTTTAGCCACCCTGTCTAGGGTTTCTGAGGCTGTAAATCTTTCTCCCAAGGAGCCACTGGTGGGTTTGAATACTGATGTTGCCGTTAGCAGGCTACTGCCTATCCTGTAAGCATCTTTAGCCAAGGTATAAACTTTAAAAACCTAGCCATTGCCATTGAGTCGATTGTAACTCACAGGCAATATCCGACTCCTAATGATCTTATAGGACTGTCCTATAGAGTTTCTGAGGCTGTAATCTTCACGGGAGCAGACTGTTAACGTCTTTCTCCCATGGTGCCTGGTGGTGGGTTTGAACCTCTGATCTTTCAGTTAGAAGTTGAGAACTTAACCACTATGTTACCAGGCCTCCTTTGTTGGTGGTTGGTTGTATGCTGTTGATCCAATTTCAACTCATAATGACCCTGTATAGGGTTTTGGTGGCTATAAATCTTTATAGGAATGGAAAGCCTACTCTTTCTCTTGTGGACTGATTGGTGGATTTGAACTGCTGACTTTTGGTTAGCAGTCCAACTATGCTACCAGAGCTCCCTAAGGCTCCCTTGTTATTATTATTAATGTTAAGTACCGTGGAGTCAGTCATAGTGACCCTGTACAGGGTTTCCGAGGCTGCAAATTTTTACGCAGACAGAAAGCCTCATCTTTCTCCCGCAGAACAGCTGATAGTTTCGAACTGCTGACCTTGAGGTTAGCTGCCTGATTCGTAACCACTTCACCACTAGGATCCTTAGGGCTCCTTTAGCCCGTGTATGGTTATGTGGTGGTTATGTGCTGTGGAGTCAGAAGTAACTCATAGCGACCCTGTACAGGGTTTCCAAGGGTGTAAATCTTTATGGAAGCAGAAAGCTTTATCTTTCTCCAGCGGAACAGCTGGTAGTCTCAAACTGCTGACCTTGCGGTTCACAGCCCGATTCGTAATCACTATGCTACCAGAGCTCCTGTTAGCCCATGTCTAGCATCACTTAAATACAAATACCTGAATGTGTGTGTGTTAAATCATCATCTTTATTTCAAAGCCATCTACTTTATCCTTGGATAAATGCTGTGCTTTTGGTCACAAATGGTTGATTATTCTGAGGTGTGAGTACCACATTAGTTAAGTTTCCCCTGATGAAACTGTCTGCTGTTTGGATGAATTGAGCCATGGGGGTGAGCTCATTTCCAGACCTGAAGGGTGATTAAGGACAATAGTCTTGGGGGTGTCCCCAGTCTCTATCAGACTGTAAACCTGGTCCTTTTTTTTTTTTTTTTTTTCAAGTAATAAAGTCAGTATAATATGATATAGTTGGTTGTACACCTTATAAGATGCAAAACTAGAGGTATTCTACACACAAATGTTTAACATGAATAACTGTAGTTTTATTTCATTAGTTAGTACTATGTCATTAATCTGGGTTTGGAGTTCTGGTATGGCACTGTGAGTTTATGCACTGGACTGCAAAGTTGGGTTGAACCGCAAGGTTGGCAGTTGAAGCTCACCAGCTGCTCCTTGGAAACCCTACATAGGGTCACACAAACTCGACGGCACTTAACAACAACAATAATGTGGGCCTGTACAACAAATGTGGACAAAACAGTACTTAACCATTTATTTTTAGAATTGTTATTAAATGCTGTTGAGTCAGTTCCGACTCACAGCATCCCTGTACAGGGTTTCCCTGTGGTTTGCAGTCCTACAGAGTCACCCCAGGGCTCCAGTTTTCTATGTACTTTTAAATCATCCCCCAATTCTCTAG